TAGTATCTAGAGTAAAATGAACTAATGAGAAAATTAATAATTTAAATGCTTATTTAACTATCTGCAATTTGGTGTGTTAATCCTAATATAGAAAATTCATTCTGGCATAGATATATTACTGCTTTTTCTATTACTGAGCTATTTGTAACCATATTTCACCTTAAAAATACTTAATTAATCACTCCTTATTCATTAAGGAGTTTGCAGTGCACTATTTCCACAATCTCAAATTACTGTTTAATCCATTTGATCAAATAAGATTTACTGTAGCACTAACTTTTCTTGTTGTCTAACTACCATTAGACTACATTGCTCAGTAATGGAAGAATAGAAAAGGCTATTGATATGTCTGTTGAAAAAGGCAAATTCTTCCTTGTTTCCCAGGAATCACATCCTCCCAAAAGATGTAATGATTCTGATTTTGAAAAGTCACCTGAACTTCAGAATAGTTCTGCTATTCACTAAAGAATGAAGTTACCAAATGTGAAGTGCCAATGTCTTAGATATTTTTATAACTTCCAGAATTTTATGGCATAACAGCGACTTCTTTAAAATGTTATGTCCTCTGAGATTTTTGGAAATGGCTTAAAAAATATATGCTGAAAAAGAAAAAAGATGTGCTAACCCATTTTCCTGCTAAAGAATCTTCAGTTTCCTGTTGCTGTGAGCAGATACAGAGGTTCACACTCTATAGTCACTTCATTAGTAACAATCTGCAGCAATTCTTTTGAAGTCAGTATAGTTAACCAGCTGTAAAGCCAATGTTACTGAAATAAAATCCAGACCTACAACTGCCATACTTTCCACCAGGTACCACACTCATTTCTTATGCTTCTTTCAGATTCTCACTATTGTTTATAGTAAAACAGTAGTATCTTAGACACTGCAGAGTGGTAACCACTGGTAAATTTATGTTTCTTATAGTGGTGACCACTGTAGCAGCATGCATGACTTATTTTGATTAGAGGCATGCATGGCATGAGTATAGCTAGACACCTTTTGGCAGCTAGCACAGTACCCATTCCTCTAGAGCATATTGCATGCATTCTATACATATTCAATTCAGTTAGAAAAGAAGGCTTTTTCTCCCCATCAGGGCAGTGTATGAAAATAATTCCATGTCTCCATGCTGCATGCATCATGATTATGGATGTGCTGAAGCAACAATAATCAATCTCAGTTAACTGGAGAACCTTGTCACTTGCTGCTCTTAGTCATGCAAAGTGTTGTACAAAGAAGCAGAAGCAATGCAGCTTGATTTTCATGGAGGTATTATTGTACATGAGGTACTGAGAGGTTGTACATTATGATAGGAGCACAAGCTGCTCAGCACTGTTCATTTTGCTGCGTTTTTATAAATAATTATGGAAGTGTAAGCTGTGTGGCTACACTGCCAGCTAGAGTACCTTGGCCTTTTCTCCCACTTTCTTACACCCATCAAAGCAACTTGCAGAGATGGCATTATCAGACACTTTTTTTACTCCAAATGCACTATTTTACTTTTATGGAGATTAGTTTAAAATGTTCCAGTGCAAATCCTATAAAATTTACTTCTCTGTTAGTGGTAAGTGGCAGCTGGCAGCAGAACAGTTCAAAGGTGCATGAGATCATCCATATTAAACAAAACAACCAAACATTCATTTGCATCCCATTTACCTTGAGGAAAGTTCAGCACAGGTTTAACATCAGCCATGTACTCAGGGTCTTGGGCTGCAAGACCCTGAAGAGTCTGCTCCCCCAGCAGCAAATGGAAGCCTAAAACTCAGTGGGTGCTACTGAATTAGTTTCCAGTGAGAAAAATAAATTAATTTGAAAGGTGAAAATCCTAAATGCACCACGTGGCAAAGATTTTGTTGCATTCAGAGCTGTAAATCTGAAGAAGAGTAACTTGGCTAATAAGACCTGAACTGTACAATTATATAGAATCTTCTAAAAGTCTAGTGTTTCCTTTTAGAGTTTGTATCTTTTAGGCTACAGGCTGAAATGAAGTACACTATTAAACTACTATTTCTGGATAATAGATAGTTCATGGCTTCTCTTGATTTTTGTCATCTGAGGTTGAAATTATTTTCTTAGGGATTTCTGTTATTGCCACTCTAGTCCATAGTATAACTAGGTTATAGTATAATGTTCTTTATTTCTGCTAAAGATTGGAACAAAGAATAAATTCAATCATAGCTCTTCTTATAACCTTATGCAAAGAAGGAAAATATAATTGCTTTATTTTTGATCTTTCATGTTCACAGCACTGCTGAAGTTAACCTGGCCATAACCTGACAATATACAGATTTATTTGCAATATCTTGTAGTAACAATGAATTAATGAATAATGATAATGTTATTCAGAAAAAGAAATCCTCCCTTTTTTTTTTTTTTTTTTTTTTTTTTTTTTTTTTTTTTTTTTTTTTTTTTTTTTTTTTTTTTTTTTTTGTTTTTTTTTTTTTATTTTTTTAGAATGCATGTAAAGTTCCAAACTGAACATCTAGAATTCTGTTTGCATGGGCTCAGTAGCAGTGGTCATAAACCTTGCCATTGCTTCTTATTAAACAGATAGTGTACTGGAATTTCCCTTTCATTCCTTCACCATTAGCTTCTCAGATCAGAGTCTCTTGCTTCCGAAGACAAGGAAAGTTAGTCAAGGTCTCTGTCTGATAAATGTTCTGACCTATAAATCC